CTTTAGTGCGATTCCACTAAGTGTAGAGACCGTGGCGGGTCGTTACAATAAGTTTTTTTTAATAGTTAAAGTTCACTAAACTACTTTTTATAATAGTTTAATTTTTAAAACTAAACTTCAAATATAGTTTAGTTTTTATAAAAATTAGTTTAGTTTTTTATAGTTTAGTTTAGTTTAGTTTTTACAATAGTTTAGTTTAATATAGTTTTTTGAACATTTCTAGTGATATGTAATCAATTTTTATTTTTGCAAATTAATAACTTAAATGCTGCCTTCCACCTTCTCTTTGTAGATGATGGGCTCATGCAAATCCTTGCAGTATAAATGATCCTCCATCATTGGCTTCCAATATGAATAATTATTGACAGTAAGCTTGAACATGTCTCCATCATGAGCAACGTTGTCCTCCATCTTGAACTGCACGAGCTAATGACAGCTTTTGATGAACCTGGCTCTTGATACCACTGTTGGGAAAACTCGGACTTTCCCGCTTCGTGAAGTTAAGATAGGCACTTAGAAATTAAAGGTAGTAATGGGAGCACACGAGTTAAATTCTCCAATATGGAGATTCTTCCACTATACAAAAGAATAGTAGGATTACAAGAATGTAATTACAAAATTGACTCACTCTATGGTGGCACACTCAAACTTGAGACTATCTCTCTTCTCTCACAAAGAGGCTTTCTCACTTTCTCACTCTAAGGAGTGGATTCACTCTTGGCTTGGATGGATAGGAATGAAGCCTCCTACCCCTATTTATACTACTCCACCTTCAAAATGAATGGTGGGGATCAAGGGTTGAGATTGGTTCTCTAGAATGCTCCACACATTCCAGGAATCTCTACTCCCTTCTATATCCTTCTATACTCTTCCATAAGGTTCCGGAAGGCTCCACACATCTTTAGAATGTTCTAGAGGGTTCCACACTATTCCACAAGCTTCTAGAGAATTCTACAATTCTCTAGGATTCTCTAGAATGTTCTAGAAAATTCTATACTTCTCTAGAAAGCTCTAGAATTTTCTAGAACCTTTCCAATTAAGGAGGGATCCTAACAGTTTATATCTCAATAGATCAAATCATAGGATCAAAAGAGTAATTAAACTTTATTATTAATTTATTATTATCATCATCATCTTGAATTCCTTCTTCCAGACTAAATTGAGATGTCTACCAGACAAGGATTGTATTAATAAGAAGAGATGTTGGGTTCATGCAGGAAAAAGCAACAAATCACAAGCTGTCATCGTCAAAGTTTTGCCTCCTGTTGTTTTTCTTGGACTCCTGATCTTTATTTGCATCTATTTAGAAGTGAGAAAGTCCACAAAACATTTAGAGAGTAAGTTCAGAAGTTTATTTAATGTTTGATGTAAGAGTCAGTCAATATTTGCTCTTGTAATTACGGCAAGATAAAAAATGAAGAGTCAAATAGTTTCTTTTCCCCCGGGCATTGACATGGGATATGAATCGAGAATTTTCTTGAATAATTTTATTTACTGTTAAGAACAAAAACCAAAAAGGGGATATAACTATTTTGCATAAATGAATTGCTTACATGTTCCTCTTGATCTCAAATTGAAGAAATGTTTTCGAAACATTTACTTTTCCAAGCTTCACCATCAATTTCCATTTGACAAAGTCGCCTGTTAAAAACATAATTTTACCTCCCACATCTAGGTGAAGCTAAGGTTGATGAAGAAATTGGGCAAGCAGAGTCATTACAATTTGACTTTGACACAATCATAGACGCTACAAACAACTTCTCTGATGCAAACAAACTTGGACAAGGTGGATTTGGACCTGTTTACAAGGTAAACATCGCATTATTACAATCAAATATAACTGTATATCAATGCAGTACGGCCAGCTTGTTGGCCAATTTTACATGTATAAAACACGGATACCATGACATCTTCAGGGCACTCTCTTCAACGAACAAGAAGTAGCAGTCAAAAGGTTAGCAAACAACTCCAGCCAAGGAGATATTGAATTCAAGAATGAAGTGCTATTGATGTCAAAGCTACATCACGGAAATTTAGTTAGGCTCCTTGGTTTCTGTTTTGAGAGAGAAGAACGACTTCTTGTCTATGAGTTTCTTCCCAATAAAAGTCTTGACAAATTCATATATGGTAAGTTAACTTATTCTCAAACTGAAAGTCTATCACATTATTTCATTTGAATGACTAAATGAAGAAAGGTTTTGACTCTTGTTCAAAACATTAAATGATTGTACTCATGTTGGCAAATAGATCCCATCCAGCGTGCACATTTGAATTGGAAAAAACGCTACAAAATAATTGAAGGAATTGCACGTGGCCTTCTTTATCTTCATGAGGATTCTCAGCAGAGGATTATTCACCGTGATCTCAAGTTGAGTAATATTCTTTTAGATGCCAATATGAATCCTAAGATTTCAGATTTTGGTTTGGCAAGACTATTTGCTCTGGATCAAACTCAGAATAATACAAGTACCATTGCAGGAACATAGTAAGTATCAAGTATCATAGGTGTATTTTGTTTCTAGCTAATTGAAAACAGGTAATGATTTTACCTAATTATTGAGCCTGTTCTTATTGACTTGAAGCGGATACATGGCTCCTGAGTATGCAAGACATGGAAAACTCTCCACGAAGTTAGATGTCTTCAGTTTTGGTGTAATAATACTAGAGATTGTAAGTGGCCGAAAGAATGGTGGACTTTATGATGGAGAGAATGTGGAGCATCTATTAAGCTTTGTATGTATACCTTCTGCATCTTTCTTGTCTTTATATGATTTATAATAGAAGTGAAGAACTAATGTTTTCAACGATGAACTACCTACAGGCTTGGAAAAACTGGAAGAAAGGGACAGCAGCTAATATAATAGATACCACCCTAAATAATGCATTGAGAGATGAAATAGTTCGATGCATTCACATTGGGTTACTTTGTGTTCAAGAAAAGGTTTCTGATAGACCAACAATGGCTTCAGTGGTGCTTATGCTTGATAGACACTCTCTTGCTCTACCAGTTCCATCGAAACCTGCCTATTTTATGAACAATAGTTGTTTATCAGTCATCCAGTTTTCGGGGTGCAATTCAGTGGACGCAGGACCAAATGAGCAGAAAAGTGTCTCTGCTGAGGCATCAGCAAATGAGGCTTCAATTAGTAGTCTACATCCTCGTTAGATATCAATCATATGATTACAGTCAAAGGTGACGATCATAACTACAATTAAATGTACTAAGAGGAACAGATGCTTGGTGCCTGCTATTACTAAGAAGGATTGTTCAACACCATTTCCTTGGAATGATTTATTTACTAATTTCCCTTATCCAATCTCTTATTTCTGTTTCTGTTGGGGATGTTCCTTTAGAGGCTGATAAAGCAATTTTAAATATTAGTTTGAATAAGTTAATTAGTGAATTAATAAAAATATGATATTGAATTGTTAGTTGATTAGTTAGTTTCAGATTTTATTCTTCAGTTATTAGTAACAATTTCTATAATTATGGAACATAATTTTTATGTTTACTCTCTTGATCCAGATCACAAGTATTTTTCATTGGAGATAATCATGTTTGAGCCGAGTAGGTTGACTATGAATTACAAAGTTCTTATTTTGACTATTTAACATTGCATATTTAGGACTCAAACTTGAGACCACAAATTAAATTGAAAAAACCCCTTATTGATTGATCAACATCAACAATGTTTCATGCTTAGTCTATTTGCTTGCTTCTTCATTTATAAATACAACCATTTTTTAAAATCCATCATAATTTAAACATTTATTTGAAATAGCATTTCGTTTGTGTGGAAGGCTTTATGTATAAAAGTTTTGATGATGCCAAATTGATTATAAAACATTGAAGAAGAATTAAGGTTGAGCTAAAACAAGTTGATACAAGAACAAGATCTCAAGTGTTACATAAATAAGTCTTGTCACTTAGCTAAAAATGTAAAAGAATCTTTTAGAATTGTAAGTATGCTTTGCCTTAAGAATAAGTTTTCAAAAATCTCAAATTGATCTCTTTAAATTTAAGCAAGTTTTGAATCTTTTGAAAGTAAGTAAGAATGTTTTCAAGCCATGATGAATGACTTGCTCCTATTGTATTTGTGATGCTTTGTCATCATTTTCTTTGATGACATCCTTGTTTCCAGCAAAGAATTCAAGCAACACATTGGCCATCTTGAGATTGATTTTTCTCTCTCTAATAGAGTCATTTTTTTTTCTCAAAATTTCCAAATGTGATTTTGGCCAACTAAAGATCGAGTACTTGGGCCATATTATTCCCATTGCTAGAGTGGAACCAGTCCCTTCCAAAATTGATGCCTTGCTTGCTTGGCCAACACCATCATCTCAGAAATCTTAACGTGATTTCCTTCGCCTTACATGTTTTTACCATCATTTCATCAAGGATTATGCTAAACTTCTTTTTCCTTTGACTTTGTCACTCCGCAGGGATTGTTTCCAATGGAGCCTATAGGCACAAGTAGCTTTTGAAGCACTCAAATGTGCTATGGCTCATGCGCCAGACGGCCCATTTGGCCAACACCCTTTTGTCATCCTTACTGACCATCACAGCTTGAAGGATTTGATGAACCAAGCTATTCAAACTCCGGAGCAACATGTCTACCTAGCCAAACTTCTTGGCTATGATTATACCATTCAATACAAAGTGGGAAAACATAATGTCACTTATGCTCTTTCAAGGGTCGCATTTGGTTATCTAAAAGTTGCTCATTTATTCCCATTCTCTTGACTGAGTACCACGCTTCTCCCCTTGGAGGTCATATGGGTGTTGCTAAAACTTGTAGTTGCCTCTTAGCCAATTATTTTTGGCCAATTATGAAACAGGATGTTCAACATTTCATTTCTCAAAGTTCGGTTTGCTTACAAACCAATTATATCACTAGGAAAACTCCTGGTCTACTTCAACAAATACCCCCACCCTCTACTCCGTGGGAGGATCTTGCTCTTGACTTCATCACTGGCCTTCCACATTCCTCGGATTATGATGTTATTTTGGTAGTGATTGACCTTTTCACTAAAGGGGCTCATTTTGGTACTCTTCCCTCTCATTTCACAAGAAGAAAAGTTGCCAAAATTTTTCTTCACATGGTATGAAAACTTCATGGTTTGGCAACAACTTTTCCGACTCAATGGCACCAAACTTCGTATGAGCAGAGCCTATGACCCTCAAAGTGATGGCCAAATTGAAGTCTTAAAATGTGTCCTCGAGCGATATCTCCAAGCTTTTCTCCATCACAAACCATCTTAGTGGACTAAGCTCTTTAGCCTAGCTAAGTGTTGTTATAACACCCAAACCCATTCCACTACTGCAATTTCTCCATATCAAGCCACATATGGAAAACCACTTCCAACCATTGCTCATTATCTCTCGGGTTCCTCTTCTCTTGAGGTTGTTGATTCCTTCCTATTTGTTAGGATCCCTCCTTAATTGGAGAGGTTCTAGAAAATTCTAGAGCTTTCTAGAGAAGTATAGAATTTTCTAGAACATTTTAGAGAATCCTAGAGAATTGTAGAATTCTCTAGAAGTTTGTGGAATAGTGTGGAACCCTCTGGAACATTCTAGAGATGTGTGGAGCCTTCCGGAATCTTATGGAAGAGTATAGAAGGATATAGAAGAGAGTAGAGATTCCTGGAATGTGTGGAGCATTCTAGAGAACCAATCTCAACCCTTGATCCCCACCATTCATTTTGAAGGTGGAGTAGTATAAATAGGGGTAGGAGGCTTCATTCCTATCCAATCCAAGCCAAGAGTGAATCCACTTCTTAGAGTGAGAAAGTGAGAAAGCCTCTTTGTGAGAGAAGAGAGATAGTCTCAAGTTTTGAGTGTGCCACCATAGAGTGAGTCAATTTTGTAATTACATTCTTGTAATCCTACTATTCTTTTGCATAGTGGAAGAATCTCCATATTGAAGAATTTAACTCGTGTGCTCCCATTACTACCTTTAATTTCTAAGTGCCTATCTTAACTTCACGAAGCGGGAAAGTTCGAGTTTTCCCAACACTATTATCTCATGAGAATCTCATTACTTATCTGACCCGAAAACTCACCACGACACAATGTTCCATGAAGAATTTTGTTGATGCTCATCGCCCTGATGTTTCTTATAAAGTTGGCAAGTGGGTGTATGTCCAGTTGCCTATCACTTGGCCTTAATTACCAAATTCTACCACAATCCATTCGGTTTTTCATTGCTCTCTAGTCTCTACTCAAACCACATCGTGGTCCACTTCCTTCCCCTTAGGAACTTCCACCTATATTCTATAATGATCGCTTGCTCATCCAACCCCTTTCCATCTTGGATTTCAAATGGGATAACTCTGTCAAACCCCCTCGTGGTTTAGTTCTTGTTCAATGGCTCGACCTTCCTCTAGAGGATACCACTTGGGGATCTTGGGATTTATTATCAACCTCTCACCAACATGAGGACAAGGTGCTTTTTCAAGAAGTAACAGATGATAGCAACAATAGCACAAACACAATATCCATTGATCACCCAGTTGCTATAGAGGGAACTACTAATACTGAGCCTACAAATGGTGAAGGCATTAGGCTCAAGCGCATTATCAAAGGTCCATCAGGTTGGGAGGACTTTATGCTCAGAAAATTCTAGAATCCATTAGTAGAGAGTTGTTATTTTTATCATTTACCTTTCTGTTGCATTTCTATTATGGTTTATCCTATATAAAGAAATGTAATGCTGATATGAAATAAAAAATATAAAAAGTATAATTTCATAATTTCTTATTCTCTTTTCTTTAGGAGGAATAATCCTAACCTCAAATTCAAGATTTCCATTTATGCACATATCAAAGAACCCTTATCAACATACTGCTAATTTTGTGGAGATATGCAATACTGTTAAAATGGATAGGATACTTCATAGAGTCATCTGTTTAAGGCTTTTTCCATTCTCTAACCAAAAGAGCTAAAACTTGGTTACAAGCCTTTCCAGAAAACAATTTGTCAAATTGAGATGATGTGGTAGAGACATTTAATTTCTGAATCGGTTCTTCCCAGAAGGAAAACTGAAAAAGCTTGAAGGAGAGATAGTATCCTTTGCTTAAGGAGCAGACAAATCATTGTGTCAAACTTGGAAGAGATTTAAAATGTTACTTCGCTAAGTGCCCAACACATGGCTTTGATGCCTATAACCAAATGCACTTTTTTTTAGTGGATTGAGATGCAATACCAAATACCATGTCTCCACTAAAGTACATTTGTCAAATACATATGTTAATTTGGCAATCAAAACAATTTTCCTAACAATCATTTAATTCCATCACAAATTCTATTTATAAATAGAAATGAAAATTAATGGGTTGGATGATGATAGATATTAGATTGTAACTTTTGGATATCTTTCTTCCCATTTACTCAAATATCACTCAAGACAATTCTTGAGACTTAAAAGAGAGTAAAATAATTAGAATTACTCCCTAATAATATTCTACCTACTAAAAATTAGATACCTTTCTTCTTCCTACCTAAGCTCCTGAATCTATTGGATGGGTAGGGTAACTAAAAAACACTCTGATACCTAAATCAGAAAAGGTAATTCAAGCATTTTAGTAGAATTATGATATATGCGTATCTTGTGATGTTATTTTTCCTTTTATACAGCAAAGAAGTTAGTTACCTTTAATAATAGAAAATGATATTCATTATAATGCAATTTTGAATTATAAATATATTAGTTATAACATAACTTTCGAGAAATACAACATAACGTTCTTATTTTTTTATGTCTCGTTTTTTAACCTTTAGCTGCTATTGATGAGCGAAAGGCATATGGCCATACCAAATAGTATCATTCGATCCACAATAGCCGAATAGCTTTCCAATCTTGTCCAAATCATAATCACTGACTATTTTTTTAATATAAAACCTTATATTATATTAGAGTAAGATAAGATCTTATACGAGATTAAAGTTTATTATCAATTTTTTTAAAGATTTTTAATAAGATTATAAATCGTTTTTATTTTATTTTAATAAAAACATAATTTGATCTCTAATTATAACTAATAGAAAGTGAAGAGACTTAATTAATTATGTCATTTTAAAAAAAAAAAAATAAATATCCACTCATCTGATACAAATCTCAGAATACTTGAAATTAATCAAAGGACTAAATTTTAATCACATTTGATTTTTGTAACCATTTTCTTTATTCTTTACCCTTATAATTGATAACTGGTAGGGAATGTTTTTTTTTTTTTTTTTTTTCCATTGATGAAAACGTAGTTTGTAAGCTATGATCTAAACAAGCTATCTTTTATAGTATATCTTTTTGCTCTAGGTGACACCATTTTAATAACGTGTGGAAATGAATTTCGTTGCCCCTTTTCCTGCTGTCACAATTTACAGATTTATTAAAATCAATTAACTGATATCGTTGTATTTATTATTTGAAACTAAGGTAGGTAAATAGACCAATACTCCCAGAATAAAAAAAAAGTATCACGAAGCCAAAAATTAGATTATAGGAGAAAAAAGTGATGAAACCTTTTGAAATCTCAAATCATAGATAATTTTATTTTCATATTACATGGAGACCACAAACAACTTAAAAAAGAAAGAAAAAAAAAGAAGTTAAACTAAGGTTATCAACCAAATGCTCTAAGGATGAGATTTAAGGACTCTAGGGTAATATGTAGAATAGTGACAAACGTATATGTTTTCATCATCAGAAGATGAAATCCTGAATATGTTTGATGCTTAGAACTATATTTCACTAATTCAAACCTTACTCTCTGCTCCACAATCATCACTCTTGCCTTCATAACAATCAGCCACAACCACCTTTTGCACATTCTTGTAGTTATACTTGCGAGCAAAGAACACAAACACAAACAAGTTCAAAGTGGTCATAGCTGCAAGTAGCCAATAAAACTTGTCCAACCTGCTACTATTCAAATCCTTACCAATCCAACTCTTCCCACTCTTACCTGTCACATGATCAACAATTGTTATCAACAAACTACTAAGAAAACTAGCAGCCCCAATGACACTAAGGTAAAGTGCTATTCCCAAGCTTCTCATTGAGTCAGGCACTTGGTCATAGAAATACTCTTGCAAGCCCACAAGAGCAAACCCATCACCAAATCCAATGATCATAAATTGTGGGGCCAACCAAAGGGCACTCATTGACAAAGAACCCTTTAATGGGCCATTCATCTCAACAGCCCCAAGCCTCTTTCTCTCAACCAAAGCTGCCACTACCATTGTCACAATTGAGAAAAACATTCCAATGCCAATCCTTTGAAGAATGTTGATTCCTCTTTCATTTCCTGTTATTCTTCTTAGCATTGGCACTAGGAGCTTGTCGTAAATGGTCACTGAAAATATCATCCCAATGGCGGCAAGAGTGAAAATTGAAGCTGGAGGAACCTCAAAGTTGTTGCCTAACTTCCTGTTCATGATGGCACCTTGTTTGATGAAGAAGGTGGAGGTTTGTGAAGCACAGATTCCGAAAGGTAAAGTGAATACCCAAATGGGGATCATGTTGATGATAAGCTTCAGTTCTTCAACCTTAGTTACGGTTGCAAGCCTCCATGGATTCTGTTTCTCCCCTATGTTCCCTTCATTTTCAAGAATTGCTGCCTTGTCTAGAAATCTGATCAAGCAAACCATACCATTAATTAATTTATGATCAATATATGGTAAAAGCTACTATTAGCAAAAGAACATTAGGTAAAAAATACAAAAAAGTAAGAAGGTTTTGTCCAAATTTGTATGTTATATCAAAATACAAGTCATTGAAAAGTTATTTTCTAGAATAATGAAAGAATTAAATGTTTATTTGGATAATTTTTTTTAGAAAAAAAATTAAAATTAATTTATACATAAGTTAAAAATAAAATTTTGAAAAAATTAAAAAAAAAAAAAGAGCTGCTACAAATTAGTTAATACATAAGCCAATTAATTTTTTAGTTTATTATTTCTTATTTTTCTCTTATAAAAGTATTTTCGAAAAAGTTCAAAACAGATCTTTAATAAAATATACTACCCCATTCATATATATAAAATAAATAAATATTTAATTCATCGAACTTAATAAAAATACTTAAATTAGTTAGTTATAATTAATACTATCATAACTTAAAATTTTATTCCAAAAACATTCATAATATTTATAAAATATAACACTACTTAAAAGTTAAAGAATAATACCAAGGAAAACAACTTATAATTTTAGTTATTCAATAAATACAATCACTTTCATAAAAAAAAAAAAAGAGTAAATAATTTATTAATAAACTCATAATAAATTAAAGATATAAAAATTTTAGTTATTAAATAAATACAATCACTTTCATAAGGTTTTTTTAATGTAGGAACTGAGTTAATATTTAGTATTTCTTAACTGATATCTTTAAGATACTAGTTAACAAAAAAAAAAAAAAATCCTACTTGAGAGCTAGTTTTAGTACTTACTTGAGTTTCTTGGTATGAGCCAGAAACCTTTCACTATCGCCCTCAGACTTGGAAACTTCATAGAGCTGAGTTGGATTGGAAGGATATGGAAGCTTTCTTTTGGAAATGGCAGCAACAAGAACTTGTAACATAGGAGTGAGGGGACTTCCAATTGGTGCCCTATAACGATAAGAAGACCTTCCTATCAAGAATATGAGCAATGAGATAGTCATGACCCCTGTGAGGATCATATCAGCAACTCCCCAATTTACATGGTCTTGTACATAAACAATCACAGTAACTCCTAGAATTATTCCACTGCACAAACCAGTGTTCCACCAATTGAAAAAGGACATTTTTTGCCTTCTTTCTTTAGCATGGTTATCATCAAATTGATCAGCACCAAAGCTCTCCAAAGAAGGCTTGTGCCCCCCAGTTCCTATGGATATTAAATAGATTCCTAGGAAGAAAACCACTTCATGAATCCTCCTAGGTTCAGTGCATGTATTAGCATGATCACATGGTTTCAAACCTGGTAAAAACCATGACAGACAAAGCAGAACCAAACCCTGTTTTTTTTTTTTTTTTTGGCCACACAAAAACAAGTGTTTTAGTAGTTAATAATAATAAAATGCCAAATTACTAATGGTAATGGTATTAATTGCTTATAATTATATGGTGTTTGATTTTGATTACCATGAGATAAACAATGCATGATGCTATCACAGTGGTGTAACGGCCTAAGTATGCATCAGCTAGGAATCCTCCAAACAATGGCATCAAAGTGGTGACACCAGCCCAATAGTTCACATTCTTAACTGCTGTCTTAAGATCTTGATGAATAACTTTGGTAAGGTAAAGAACCAAGCTAGTTGCTATTCCGAAGTAGCTCAATCTCTCACTAAACTCAATTGCTGCATGAAACAAAAAAATAACATTTAATGAAATTATAATTATAATTATTCCTTTTCGATAAGCATATTTTTTGTATGAAATATGTATAAAAAAATTTGACTACTCACTTTTAGGAAGATTTCTCTTTTTTTAACTACTTTTTTTCAATTACAAAATTCGAAACTCAAAATCTTGCATAAAAAAATCGAATTCAGTATCATATTTATTATTTTCCAAAGAATAAGCTCTATTTTTATGAATGTGTGCATAGCTAGCTAATTGTGGACTAGCTAAAATGACTGATTGTTTAACTCATAGATTCAAGTTAAGGGAATCACTCTAACATATACATGCAATTAAGTGGTTTCAACGTATGCTTGCTTTTGATGGATGAATGATATAACTAGGAGAATCACAAAGCTCAAAAAGTAGGAAAGGGAACAAGCATCCTGAACCATTAATCACTCATAATCTATACTTCGAATAGCTTCATAATTGGCCAGGAAACAAGCAGGTACAGTATCATTCTTGTTTAATGATTTTGGCACACACAATATGGGGTAAACTGAGAATAAAAAGCTTTTTATTCTAAAAGGGTTGAGTACGTTAAAAACTAAAAAGTTTAAAACGTGAATTGCTAAATTGAGCTATGTCAAAAATTATTCAAACTGTGCATATTTGTCGATGAAATTCGTGAGGATAAAAAAATGAATATTATAAATAAATACTTACAGATAAAAGATATGAGTATTTTTTATACCCACGTTAATAAAATGGGTATGAGTATTATAATATTTTTAAAAACTTATGAAAATAAATACTTTAATAATTAAATTTAGTTTTTAAATTGAAGAATCTTGATAAATAAAATTATGTATAATATATGAATAATTTGAGTTTTGAATTTTAAACTATTTTTTAAAAAAATATTAAAATAAATATAAATTATTATTAAAATATTTTTATGAAAATTTATTTTTTAAAATAAATATTCGTGGATATCTATAAATACCTATAAATATTAAAAAAGATATACGGATACTTACTTAATAGATACTGACATAAATACGAGTATGAGGAAAGTATTTATTTGTCAAGACAGATAACAAAGAATTATCATTCATACTTACACCATCTTGTTAATATCTTTAATTAAAATATAAAAAATATTGATATAAAAACTTACTTTAGACATAATTATTTTTATAAAAAATTTATATATATAACTCTTAGAAATAATATACATAAAATTATAAATTTAAATTTTTTTTACTATCATTATAATTCTTATCGATAAAAAAGAAATATAGCCATAACAGCACAACTACATTTGCAATATCCGTGACCTAGGCTTTCCTTATCGATAAATAATAATTTTTTTTACATATTGCTAGTATAATTTTTTATTTATGTGGTCAATTAATTGAAATTTATTTCTATTATAATTTTTAAAAATAATTTTTACATCATTTAATAATTTTAATTACATAACAATCTACGATTGAATCACAGTTTAAAGAGTAACTGTATAGTCATTCTTTCCTGAAAGTTTTCTATATAAAAGTATTTTGTTCAAATAACAATTTTTTAATTTACAAATATTGATTTGAATTAATATATCCAAAGTTATATAAAATAGTTTGTTATAATCAATTAAGAATATAATTTATATGTGTATTCTAGTAAATAGCCTTTTTAAACCATAGTAATTTAAATACAGCCTATAGTACTTGTCCCCTAAAACATAACTCTCATTATCCAATTCACATGCACTTGGTTTAGAAGGGAGTGGAGCATATATTTTTCACTACTACAAGTGAATAAATAATGCCTAATTTGTGTGGTTCATATCCATTATCTTTACTAATGCTATTAAAATATATCTAGTTGCTCTGGGACCCACCTCTTTATAGCTCGTACTGCTCTTGACCATTTTAGTGCATGGGAATCTCACGATAAGTACTATCCCAATTAGCATTATATTCTTCATTTTTATTGCTTAATAAAGTAGTTAATAATTACTCCATTTACAGTTAAATATATAATATGGATATACTGCGATAATAGGATGGGTAGAATGTCTATAGATTAATCATAGGGATTAAAAAGTAACTAATTGTTGCTTAAAAATAAAATATCAAATTTATATTATTTCTGTATGTATGTATATATATTTAGAAATTAAATTTTTAATCGGACAAAAAAAACTCTTAAAAGGTGTACAAACTCATAGACAAATAGAAGAAGAGAGACATATAAAATGTGTGCAACATGTGTCCTACTCTTTGGATAGTGAGGGAATTATTACTCTTGTTAATATCAATATGATGAGTCTATTTTAAAAATATAATGTATTATTAATATTGTTTTATAAACAACATATGGTAATATAATATATTGCAGTATTAATTTATATCTTTATAATATTGATACTACCGATTCAATTTTCAATATTAAGAATTGTGTTAATAGAAACTAATACAATACAAATTTTCGGTTGTGTGTATAGCTTTTGTATAGGAAAATTTAAAACTCTTAATGGGATACGTGCACCTTAGTTAATCAAAGCAAAAGTATTCCGTCGTCTAAACTTATTCTTAACACTTCTCGAAGAAAAATAAAACATAACAATTTTTTTCATAATTAAAACTAGTTTATATAAAAATTAATTTATAATTTTTTTTAAAGTTATATAAGAGAATTTATACAAATTAACTTATTATAAAAAAAAAACTTTTAATTTTTAATTTATTTTTCTCTTAAAAATATTTCTACAAAAAATTACCTAAACGAGTTTAAGTTAGGATGAGAGAGCTGAGTTAAATTGAAGCCATAAGTTAAAGTCAAGGTAATTATATAAACAGGTAAAAGTATTTTAATATCTTAATATTATAAGAAAATTATTATATAATAACATCCATTCTGTAATAACATAATATTTATCACTAAAAAATACTTTTATTCATAATAAATAAAATATATTAGTATTATTAAAAAATATGAATATAAACTATAATAATATATAAAATATGTCGATAAATCTCATTGAAAATCAATATTAATAAAATTACGTATAACTATATATTAAATAAATATATACCTATATATTATACTTATATAGACATTTTTATATGTCACTATATGTAATATTTATTGTATAATGAAGTGTAAAAGACATGATATATTCTAAAAATAATTTACAATAAAACATGCAAATATTATATTTTCTTATATAATAAAAAAAGCTAAAACAAATTTCAGTCTCTCATTTTAATGTTTACTCTTTTAATTTTAAAATTTTTCACTTTAATTCTAAAAAATATCTATATTAAACTAAATTAGTCCTTCCATTAATTTAGCACACTTATTTTGTCAACTTGTGGTGATACATGATAAACTATATATGAGAGATATCCCATCCACAAAAAAGTTACATCGTTAACATTAGTGTAAAAAATTGATTGAGTGACTAATTTGTTTAACATAGATACTTTAAATGATTGAAGTAAAAAAATTTAAGTTTAGGAGACTAACTTGAAGCCAAAAATTAAAATAAGAGAACAAAATTAATTATAATATAGCTTATAAAATTTTAATAGTATTCTAAAGACTGATTAACTTTCTAGCGATAGTTAAAACAAATTAAGTTTGAGATTAAAAAAAAATGAGCATAAATTTATAAAAGCAAACATGAAAGTTGACAACTATTATGATGCAATAAAATTAATTAGGTAGGTTAGAGGAAGATGAAGGTATTGTTCCATACCAATAATGAAGAGAGAAGCTTTCCATGAACCAGTGGAATCTCGAAGAGGAACTCTTCCTTTGTGATCCAATGAAGAATCACGAACCCATTTCATCTCATCCTTAACATCCTCAGAATTTGCAACAACCTTGGTCTTCTCCATCTTCTTGAATGATGCTATAGCTAGCTTTGCTTGTTGAAGTAGGTATAAAGTGAATATTGGATTTTGTGGCTATTGCATTGACAACCTTCACCACATACCCTCCTTATATAGGGGGTGATAATTGCCTTTTTGACCCACCACAGTTGAGAATGGTTTGGAAAAATGAAATCTCTCTCAAATATGTAATGATTGCGATTTATGATAAAGACCCTTTTTTTTTCTTTCAAAATTAGTAAGTATCAAGAGAATATTGATGAGAATTTCAAGCCATTATATGATAAGTATATAATATGTATTTACATATTTTTAAGGAAATCGTATACATATTTAGGATATCAAAACCCTCCTATAATTGTGTATAGGAGAATATAATTGTTTTAAAATAATGTCAAAACCGTCACTTTATTGTTCGTCACCCAAATAACCCACCTAAAATAATATATACACGTGCTCCTATAACTATGTAATTAAACACATAATTATACAATGATATCTTAAAAACCTCTAATTAGATCTTATCTATAGTTTAATATTTAACATGTTAGTTTGAGTGAAATTAAACTTATTTTTTTTAAATATAGTCTCAAATTTGAATTTTGTAGATAGAAAAATGTGATTAATATATAAAAGAGACCCTTACTAAAAAAATTTACATAAATTTTTTAATGAAGATTAATTATCAACAAATAGTTTATATATCTACAATAATATATTTTATGTCTTATTATAGGTATCTTTTAGTTTACTAAAACAAAGAATAATTTTATTTCAATATTGTGACTGTCGTTAATCTAACTAATTTTTACACATCGTAGAAATCGAACATGAAAAAATTAAATTTTTAACATTGATTTATGCCCAAGTTCTTTTGTTGGGACATTTTAAGTTGGAGAGTGTTCTTGCTTTGAGTCCAGCATCATTTCATCTCCCTAAATTTCACATCAACGAAAAAAGAAATTAGTAAAATGGCGTATTAATTAATTAGATTGGTAAAGAAATTAAGAGGTGAAGGGGTTGAAATAGTATGAAAGTCATGTAAAGATGCTGTTAAGTTGCACTTGGAAACGTCATTGTTGTGATGGAATAGCATTCGACCCATTTTCTTCCATGGGACCACCACACTGTTCATATTGGCCACAACATTTACGTGTCACCCAACTGGTGGAGCAAATAATTACTATAACATAAACATGGTTTTGTCAGCTTAGAACAACTCTAATGGGAATTGCTTGTCCCATAAAACAACTCAAGCTCTAGTTTTTTATCATTGGAAGACTTTGACGTGACAACATGAGTTGTTTGAAGAAGAGAAAGAGTTGCTTCCTCAAGAAACCGTTCCTGACCAGATTTTAAACAACGTTTATTGAACATATTTAGAAACGTTTCAGAAATAATAATGATGAAAATTAATTTCATATAATGTCTATGTATTTATTATTATTTTATTTTATTTTTAATATTTACTTATTGTTATTTTTTCTTGTAATTTATTTTCTTTCATTATAGTGCAATTACCCTTTTAATAAAAATTTAAAATTGATTCATAAATGATTAGAAAAAAAATTCTAAAAGTTAAATTTCTTAAAATTTCTTACCATTAGAGAAAAATTGTGTTTGAGTTGCTTAATACTGATATGACACATTCAAAATTAATTTTTTCATTTTTTAATGCATGAAGCAATTCAAATGAGTTGCTTCCATTAGAGATGTCCTTAATTACTCGTAATATGTTTACCATATATATATATATATATATATATGCCCAATATTTTATTTTTCCTTTCACTGAAACTTTTGTTCTTTTCTAGTTTTCTCCCTCACACCGACGAAGAAATATGTTTTTTTTTTACCTTCTTGATCGTGACATCGTGCTAACAGACCTAGCTATAACATAACATATTATGAAAAAAGTGAATTTAAATTAACTCAATTTTACAACTTGTAATTAAGATGAGAATTATCTTTACTATTTATATACTTCAATTTCAACTAATAATATGAAATCTCTAACTTATGTTAAACATTTTTAGCAACTAATATAATGTTTTATAGTGAATATTATGATAAGTTCAATAGCATTCATATAAAGATAAATTCATGTACCATCATGAGAAAATAAATTTGAATTAAATATCATTTTATAAAATTGACTTATTAGGCAAAGAGTATTCTGGTTACTTTTTTTTTTTCTATGAACTTCCGGTTTTGTTTTCTCTTCAAATATTTGATATCTAAACTAAACTAGTGAAGTGTGAAATGTTTAAAAAATATATTGCAAATTCTTACCACTAAGGGAATAGAGGTTCTGAAACCACTAAAGTCAAACAACATTTAGTCTTTGGGTAAAATTTTATAATGTTATAAGTTCAAGCTATTGCAAATCATTATCATTATAAAATAAATGTTTCAATATTAATCTTATGAAATTCAATGAACTTATCTTAAATACTTAATTGTATTTGTAGAAAAAAAAATAACTTCAATATTTATTTATTTAACGTAATAATGTTAATAAAAATAATTAAAAGCAACTATTTTAATTATATTTTTATTCAACACAATCATAATCACTCAATGTCTTAAAGTTAATATTCAATAATTAATCTATATTTTCTGAGCGTGATTTCCTCACACTATATGCATATTTCAATTTAAATCTGTGATTAAAAGTAGTTTAAATGGTTTTTAATTGCATTCGATAATTCAAAATAAAATTTTATCCAGCACAAAAAAAAATATCCAATTTTAAAAAAATATATACTTATTTTCGAATCAAACTTCTGAAAAGTTATTTATCATACTCGGCTAAAGATTACAAGACTAATCACACTTACAATTATTCATTCTTATTATATTCTAACACCATGTGGCTAACAAAGTCATCAAGGCAAGGAGTTTATGTCCTAAATTTTAAAACCTTTAATACCCCTTAAACATGTAAAAAAATTTAAAAATAAGTTTGAAAGTTTATTGTCTTATAAATTCATGTTGGCTTAATTTAAGGATATGTTGACGAAATATATTTTAATATCTTTAAAGTTAATAATTAGTTGTATATTTTTTTAGTAAATATTTTTTGCTTTATTTTTAAATAACGTTATTATTTTAAAACTTGTACTTGAAATAAAAAAAAATGATAACGAATATTAATTATTTTCTTTGTATATCTTACAAATTTAATTTTTTTTATCTCAAATCTTCTCATTCTTTTCATTCTCTTCACTTTTATTTTTATTTTTATTTTTTTATCATTTTTGTATTTTTTGGAGGCATAAAGTGAATTGCTAAAGTGGATAATTAATCTCAAATTGTTGTTGTGAATAGTATCAACACATAATTATCATTTCTAGGTTCTATATATCATTTCATCATTTTCTCTTATTTATTTTGTAATATTTTTATTTTTATTTTTTTGTTTTACTTGTTTATTTTATTATATTTCATTGAGTTGTAGTAGTATAAAATGTCAAGTAAAAAGTATGAATTTGGTTTTGTAAAATTGAGGAAAAAGAAAAAAGTAGAAGAGTTAATTCAATCTTAATAGAGTCCTCTTGATAAACTTGTAACTACCGCCGGTAAGAATAATTGTTACTATCGAAAATAATTTTTCAAAATTAAAATTACTTAAATCTTATTTAAGATCAATAATGTTATAAGATGGATAAAATGGATTAGCCATCTTATTTATTGTGAGTGAAATGTTAGAATTACTTAATTATAAAATATTGATAAATAATTTTATTACTTAAAAAACTAGAAATTAATAACTAATAAACTTATAAACAAATTTTGTCTTAGGCCTCAAATTTTTTAGACACGGCCCCGCTATAAGAATAAGACTAGTATGATAACAGCCATTGACGATTTTGAGTACGTTAAGGTGATCGATCGTCCAAGACTTCATTTTAAAGAGGTACTGATTTTTTTTTACTCTATATAAATATTAAAATAAATTTTACATAATTAAATTATATAAAATAAATAAATTAATCACCAACCATTAATTAATTAATAGATAATGTTTCTATTTCTCAACAAAAATTTGTCATAATTATGAAAAAATTCACCCATAATTTTAGGAAAAATAAATGAGTAATATTAAATGTAAAGAGAAAAATTTGATATATATTGTTGATTTATTTCCTTCACTATCTCTTAGTTTGAACCTCGTCTTAATAAATAAGGTTCATATGAACTTTCTCTCTTCTTCTTTTTTTATTGTCTCTAATCTTATTGATTCTCTTTTCATTTTTTTTATTGTGACCTCTTTATGAAATCAAATTACAAACTTCTATTTGTTAGTCGTTCCAAGCTTTTCTTTAACGTAAAAGTCGCACTATTATTGATCTTTTTTCCATTACAACAATTTGATAGTTTAAGATAAATGTTTAAAGTAATTAAATACCATTATTTTATCTCTGTCATTTACTCATTAAAAACTATATTTAATTTATAAATTATAGTTTAGTTTTTTTTCTATACATTTCTAAATATTTAAATGTGTTCTCTAAAAAATAACATTTTTGTGACCTAAATAGTCTAACTTTATTTTCTAGTGAAAATAATTTTTTCAAGAATTTTGATTTCGAAAGGACTATTATTGATTTTGCAATAATAAAATAAAAGATAATAATTATGAGACTGAGGACATTATTTTTTATTTGTTCAGGGCACTAAAAATCTCAGAGCTGGCCTTAACTACAGGTGACTGAAATTGAAGTGAGTGTAGCTAGTTGGTATATATTAAACTTGTAGGAAAGTATTCTCATATATATTGTAAATATATAAGAAATATGGTGAATTTTAGGTGTGTTTAGTTTGAGAGAAATAAGAGAATATAAGAAAAAGAAAATAAAAAATTGATTGTTAATAATTTTTTCATTCAAACTAAACAATCCATTGTGATCTAAAAAATATATTTTTTAATGTATTATTATATGTTAATTTGTAGGGATTTTATATTAAGCTGTGAGTAGGGGTGGGCAAAATGAACTGAACTGAACTTATAAAAACTATACTGAACTTAAAAATAGTTCTCATGAACTGAACTAAACTAAATATTAGTTCAGACGAACTAAACTGA